GCTCCCGGAGAAGCCACTGCGGAGGGGCTGCCTCCAATTAAAGTCCTTAGTTGCATCTTAGGCCTGGGTCCCTCCTCTATTCCCCTCTCCCAGCCCTACTTCTGAGATTCCCTTGAATACAGAACAATTAGAATTAGGCATCTCTTATTAAGAAATGAGGTCTGATTCTAAAACACTTTCAGTCACTCCTTACCAACCTAATGAAGTACTTAGGAGAGGCTGGTCAGCAATGGGCAGCTATAAATGGATGCTGTAATAACTGTCTAGAGCTTGAGGGCACAATACTGCTCGCCTACTGTGGGACTCAATTTGGTGCTCAGGGTCATAGTGGACAGTGGGGCAGGTAGTGCACAACTCTGCAACAAGCAGCCCTACAGTGATGCAATGCACAGCCCATGCAGTTGTAGAAAGCTGTCTATGCTAAAACGCAGAGCATGCAAACGTAACATGCCAGACACCCCAAGTGGCTTCAACTTTAGCCAGGGAGCCAGCACAGAAGCATATCACTTCACCTTATAGACAACTTGGGGATTTGGGGAAGCCTTCCTGGAAGAGATGGTGCTTGAGTTTTTTGAAAGTTGAAAGGGAATTAGCCAAGCAAAGAGGAGAGGGGAATGGTATTCCAGAAGGAGGGAACAGAATAAGCAAATTTGGAAAACAGAGACACAAGCTGGCAGGAGTATAAAGTAGCGAACTTCGATGCTTGGAAAGATGAAAGTGAAAACCTAAGCCAGGGTGTTGGGAGAGGTGAGGGGAACAGAGCTTTAAGACCCTCGTATCCAGAAGAAGAAAGTTGGACTCTATCCAGAAGGTAATGGGGAGCCAGGGAAGGTAATGTTTAGGCAACAAAGTGACATAGCCATATTTCTGGTTTTTGCAATATGAACATGGTGAGTTTGTTAAGACAACACATTAGCACTCCCTGTGTCTGCCCCCAGCACTGAAGAGGAGAATAAAGGAAGATGATGTCTTATACCACAATATTATAGATTGAGATTCATACCTACAATGGAAAGCCCATCCTGGCTGCAATTTGAAGGATGTGCAATTTGAAGAAGTGTGAGCAATAACGATAACAGCAGTGTATAAATCTGGTATATTTCTCTTCTCAATGCTTTATAAATATCAACTCACTTAGCATAATAACCCAACAAGGATAGTACTGTTACTACTCTGGTTTTACAAATTAGGAAACTGAGACACAGAGAACTTAAACAAGCCTCTGAAGATTACACTAATAGTAAATGGCAGAGCTGAGACTTGAACCCAGGACACCTGACTCCAGAATTGATACTCTTAACCAACCAGTTATGCTGCCCCTCACAATGATGGTAGAATGACATTCAGTGATTGCTTTTGGCTCCAAATTGACAGTTCATTGCCTGTTCTTCAAAACTGGAGTTGGGCCCTTTAAATCTTTTTCCCTTGGCAGCTAGTGCAATGTTAGACTTCGTCAGTAGGGGGTGCTGGAGATACTGGAAGAGGAAGGGCCTTCCTTCTGTTCTGGGGAGCTCATTTAGCAGGGAGCAGCACATGTAGCTCCTTGGGTATCTGGCTCTGGCAGTTCACGTGGCTTCTCCAGCGCCCAGATCCTGCTGTATATGGTGGTCGGCAGCACTTAGCAGCCAGCAGCTTCTCCCGGTGACTTACCCCCAACAAATGGGGTAGTGCCTCCATCTCTCTGTGATATCTTTCCCTAGCACCTTAGAGGGCAGATTTCTAGAACATTCTGTCAACATGGCATCTCAGCGACTTCTCTGCGTCCAATGGGCCACAGCCATGTCGTTCCCAAGGTCCATATCTCAGCTGGAGATGGGCGGGGGGGCTCTTCCTTGGGGCCTCTATCTCAGCCCTGTGGTGGCGGCTATGCCTTAGACCTGTTATTTCTATATTCTTTACAGGATCTTGCTTCTTATTCACCAATCCATTATTTCAACCCCCTGTTAAAGTTAATAATTCTTTATATTAAACTTCTTATATTCAAATTACTGTGTGCTTTCTGTCTTCTGATTGGCCCCTAACTGATACAGACATCCAAAAAGAGGCTGCCTAGGCAATCAGGACAGACAGTGATATAGGTATGAACTAGGTCAGCATCCCTAAGATGGAGACGAGAGCCCCAAGTTCCAAAATATATCTCAGGTAAAGCTGGCCAATTCGAACTCGGAACCATACAGGGAAGAAGATTCTGCAAAATGAAGTTCTTCACTTCTTTTGTAATGCAGAGAACTGCGAAGGGGGTGGTAGTGAGGCCAAGTTCACCACACACAGGAGATTGTTTCATCTTGCGCTATGTCAAGCTAAATGAGTCTATGGGACATCCAGGTGGCCACATCCAGAAGGAGGTTAGAAATATGTGGCAGGTAAAGTTAAAAGAACAATGGCTGAAAGGAAACAAGGGAATCTCCAGAAAAACCTATGTTCCTTATGTCTTGGAACTGTTTCCTGCAACAGATTCAGCAGGTGCTTTGCACATAAAAGATGCTCCTTAAATGTCACCTCCTGCATTTAGAAGCCACTTCACAGAAAGATGGGGGGAGGCTCACATCCTATGAACTTGTCAAAGGGCTCTTGGCCTCAGGGTGATATCTTTCTTTAGAGGATTTTCAAATAATAACAATAAAAATAATAATGGAAGCCACAGCTGGACCTTACCTCTGACCATGGCAAACTAGCTGGTATCAGACCAATCCTCCTACTGAGAGCAGTTTAAAAGGCTGTAGTTTCTTTTTCTTAAATCTGTCCAAATATGTCACAGAGCTACCAATGCAGTGTGGACTTGAGGGGCCAAGATCCTCAAGAGAAAGAAAGTGCAGAGAGATGAAATGGACATCAAGGTCTTCTGACCTCCTCGAGGCACTTGCCAACTCCTAAAAAGAGTCTAAAAGGCTGAAAAACTGGGCAGAGCTTTCAGTAGACTCACAGCTTAGAGGCTGAGGGCTCACCCTGGAGGAAGAGGATTGGCTGTTAAAAGTTTTTAAAAGTACGTTTCCAGTTAAAATCTCTGAAGAGCTAGAACCTGCAAATCAGTGCTAACCAGAAATATACTAAGTCTTACTAGGACTAAAACCCAGAGTCAAACTAACCCAACTTTACTTTTCTCAGAAGCAAAAGTAAATCCTTTCTGAAGGAATATCCAGAGTCTTGTGCATCTCTTCAATGTTTCATTTTTTTAAAAGTGTCTAGCATTCAATAAAAAATTACCAGGAATACCGGAAGATAGGACCAACTGACCAAAAACGCAAAAGGAACATACTTACAGAAGAGCCAGATACTGGAGTCAGCAGATGTGGACTTTAAAATATTGAAGAAAACAGATGACAAGATGGATAATTTCATCTGAGAACTGTACACTATTTTTTAAAAATCAGTTAAAAATTACAGGACTGAATATTACAATAGCTTAAATTAAGAACTCAAGTCAAAGGATTAACAACTGAGTAAACATAACTGAGGGTAAGAGTAATGAAGTGGAAGATAAGTCAGTAAAAAATATTCAGACTGAGTCATGAAGAACCAAAAGAATAGAAAACACAGAGAGTCTTAGAGATACAGTGACAAGGTCTTAACACACATATCCTTAGAGTCCCAGAAGAAGATGAGAAAAAAGAGGGCAGAAGCTATGATGAAAAATACTGTATCACAGATTCAAGATGTGTTACGAATCCCAAACAGGATAAATATAAAAAAAGTTATACCTAGGCACATCAAAATACAATTACTGAAACCCAAAGCAAAGAGAAAATTTTAAGAACAGCAACAAGACTGATAATTGACTTCACAAATAATGAAAGCCAATGACATCTTCCAAAGGTTGAAAAGAACCCAAAAAACCTGTAGTACTCTAGAATTCCTGACTTACCAGAAACTTCTTTCAAAAATAAAAACACAATAGAGACCTCTCAGCAAACAAAAACTCAATCTGTTACTAGAAGATCTGTACTGGAAGGAAGATACTAAAGGTACTTCTATATATAAATCCTATACTAAAGAAAAATTCCAAAGGTAGCTTCAGGAGTAGGTGAATGATTCTAGACAAATGTGCGGAAATGCAGGAAGGGATAAAGAGTAATAACAAAGCAATAAATGAAGAATAATAAAAAGTAAACATGTGCATAAACCTAAATGAACACTGGCTATACAAAGCATTAATAATAATGTCTGTTGTGGTTTAAAATATAGCAAGAATTGACATCCATGATAACAAGACCACCACAGACAGAAAGGTGAAAGAGTTCTAAGGTCTTTGGATTGTCCAGAAAGTGATAGAAGGATCCTCTTATAATAGAATTGAATAAGTGCAGGATGCATGTTGTAATCTAGGGTCACCACTAAGAGAAAAGAATACATACCTCACAAGCTACTAGAAGAGAAATTATACAAATCACAAAAACTTAATGCAAAAGAAGGCAAAAATAATACAGAAAAAAGAACACAGAAGGGGAGGACCAATAGTAAGTAAACAGTAAGATGGAACATTTAAGCCCAAAACTATCTAATATATCAGGAAACACACTGGACATAGCATAGTAAATACTCCAGTTAAAAAACGGACTGAATTTTTTTAATCCCACACTTTCACAAGAGGAGCACCGTAAATACAAGGATGCAGATAAGTTGAAGGTAAAAGGATGAACAGATATACTATGTAATCACCAATCAAAAGAAAGCTAATGTATCAGACAAAGTAGATTTTAAGGCAAAAATCTACTAAAGAGGGATATTTCATAAAGATAAAAGGGTCAAACCATCAGGCAGTTCTAATAATTCTAAATTTGTATGCATGGAATAACAGAGCAAAACTTGTCAGAAGTGAATTAAAATACACGTTCACACAAAAACTTGTACACAGTTGTTCATAGCAGCATTATTCATAATAGCCAAAAAGTAGATTTGATGAATAACCCAGCTGGATGAATGGATAGACAAAATCTGCTCTATCCGTGCAATGGAATATTATCCAACCATTAAAAAGGGATAAAGTATTGATACATGCTACAATATGGATGATTCTTGAAAACTTTATGTTATGTGAAAAAGCCAGACATAAAAGGCCACAAACTGCATGATTCCATTTGTGAAATGTCCAGAATGGGAAAATCCAGAGAGATAAAGTAGACCAGTGATTGTCAGGGGCTGGGGACAGGGAGTCACAGGGTGACTACAAATGGGTAGGGGGATTCTGTGGGGGGAAGATGTGATGAAAATGTTCTAGGATTAAATAGTGGTGATGTTTGTGCAATCTTGTGAATATACTAAAAACCACTGAATTTTATACTTTAAAATGGTGGATTTTATGGTATGTTAATTACATCTCAATTTTTTAAACTGTGTAATTAAAAAAAAAAAACTTTGTCAAAAGTAAAAGGAGAAACAGAAAATCTACAATCCTAGCTGGAGAGTTTCCTCCTTTGGTCACTGATAGAACCAACCAACCAAAATCAGTAAGGATATAGATTTGAATAAGGTAAGTAAAAACTCACACAAATAGACACAGGTAGAAAACAGTATGCAGCAGCTGAAGAAAAGTCATCTTCAGATGGCGGAGCCCTTACTATGGACCACACTATGAACCAGGCCTTGTGCTTTGCATGCGTCACCTCAATTCATCTCCCTATTATCACATGCCCCCTTAATAGATGAGGAAGAACAGAGAGGGTGAGCATCTGGCCCAACGTCACCAACCAGCTTGTGCTTAACTTCCCTGCTAGGGAAGCAGAATCTTCCCTAGATTAAAGAATAAAGAGTAGAATCTTTATTCACATAAATACACCCCATGGTGCTGGAGTAACTGAGGTCTGACGCAGAATGAATAAACATTAACTGTTAATGAACTACATCATCCACAAAAGCATAAGTCGGGCACCTACAGCATTTAAGACATAGTGAGAGATTAAAAAAAATAATAATAGCAACAATTTCTTGAGCGCTTACTCAAGTTTGCGACTCACAGTTGCAAGCACTTTACATTTTGTATACCATTTAATCTTCACAATCACCTGCCAGGTAGGCACACTTACCCCATTCCACACTTGAGGACTGAGACCCAAGGATGGGAGGGACGCGGCTCCTAGGTGGCAGCCCTTGGATTTGAATACCTGTGACTCTAGAATCCAAGCCCTCCGCTCCCACTTCACGACATGGCACCACCTTCACCAGCTCCATGCCTGCCATCAACACAGAGCTTTGAAACGGCGCACATGTTCCTTTGTGGAATCTCATCTTCACAGCAACCCTGTGAAGCAGGCAAGACAGAGATCACAGAATTTTCTAAAAGAGGAAACTGAGGCTCAAATGCGAAGAAATGTACCTCATGGGCACACCTGAATGCCCTACCCACTGGGTGACACCACCAGAAACTCTAAAGAGAGGAAAAGGCAGGAAACAACACATCGAGGGTCCTTTAAGGAGGCTGTCAAATGGAGAAACTGCTGTTTGGTCAAAACACACACATTTTTATTCTCTGTTATTATACTTACCAGGGTTTTATGGTTGGATGATAAATATGGGCTACTACTGATCACATTCACAGCCCACACTTCCGCTGTGGCAGGTGAGAAAGACAATGATCGCCTTCATGAATAATTCTCATTGAGCAAAGCGGGCCGCAGCATTTGTCGGCTGACGAGAAATGCCTAAAAGAGCCATTTCCAAGGGCTGGTCTATGTACATGATTTGTCTTCTCTGGCCCAGAGAAAGTGAACAGTCAGATTCACCTCTTACATGGTAAGTCACCCACATAATTACATTTCATGTTCACCAGGTTCATTTATAGAGTGAACTGACATTCAGAGAGGTTAACCTAGCCAAGGTCACACTGCTAAGAAGTAGCAGATCTGAAATGAGAATACAGCTCTCCTGCTGGCTAGGCCAGTGTTCCATCCAAAGGGGTATCAGGTCTGGGACACCTCACCTGTGTGGGTCTATAGAACCTTTCTGCATGTAGATAAAGGCATAACAGAGAGAAAGGCCAAGGGTTAAAATGGAACAGAAAAAGATGGAAATTCCCAGATCTTTGGCTTTGAAAGGGCCATTAAGAATCATCCAATCTACCCACTATACAGATGTGTAGACTGAGGACCAGCCTAAAGTTACATAGCTAAAAGTGGCAGTTCAGGACCAGAACCCCAGTCTGTGACAACTTCATCATTCAACTGAGTACAGAGAGTAATTTGCAAAAGCTACTATAGAGATGACAAAGCACTCAGTCCACAGGATTTTTTTCCTTAGCAAGTCCAGGTCATGCACAAAAAGTACAAGGTGCAGTCTTTGTCCTTGAGGAGCTTATAGTCTAGCTAGAAGAATAGGTATATGCACAGGAAAACAGAATCAATAACATAAAACATGAATAAAAGCAGCAACTACATCAAGAATTTAAAGGCCGCAGAGTCAGGAATTCCCTGGTGGTCCAGTGGTTAGGACTCGGTGTTTTCACTGCGGTGGCCTGGGTTCAATCCAAGGTCGGGGAACTACGATCCCGCAAGCCACGTGGCGTGGGAAACAAAACAAACAAACAAAAAAAGTGAGATGATTTGGATTCATGGATTAAGAGGTAATTTTTTAAAAATAAAAATAAAAAAATAAAGGAGGCAGAGAGTGGCAGGTCTGGCTATGTTGAAAGGCTTCCTGAAGGAGGGGTAAGGAAAGCTGAGCATTAAAGCATGCATAGGAGGGGGAGGGGCAAGATAGGGGGAGGGGATAAGAGGTACAAACTGCAATGTATAAAATAAATAAGCTACAAAGATATATTGTACAACACAGGGAATACAGTCAATATTTTATAATAACTGTAAGTGGAGTATAACATTTAAAAATGGTGAATCACTACGTTGTACACCTGAACCTTGTATATATCTTACGTCAACCATACCTCAATTAAAAAAAATTTTTTTTTACAAAAGCATGCATAGGAGCCCAGCACATACAAAGGAACAGGTATGTCAGTCCAGGAAAAGAGTTTCAACCTACGAAGGATTTTTACGGGCGATGAAGCCAAAATTGCAGACGAAGGCCAGGCCTTAGGAGCTGGGGAGCCTTTAAATGCCAGGCTAGGGCTTTTGGATTTGGGCCTAGGGAACAACGGGTCTTCAAACTTGTTCAGAAGCAGAGCACCTGGCAGCCTCTGAGCTCTTCATGGAATTCCACAAGTGACAGATTACGCTTCACTCCAGGACAGTGTTAGTGTTAAGGAACACACGGCCATTCTCCGTCTGCAGTATGAAACCATCCCACAAGCAAGCATGCTGTGAACAAAATATGTCCTCCAATCAGACAGGATCAGTCTCTTCCAAATATTCCCATTAGCAGTTACAGGCCGTTTGTTTCCTACTCCTCAAGGCCTGTGTGCTAGCATACAAGCCCAAGTGCCATCTTTTTTCAGAAAATGTAGGGAAAAAACAACTTAAAAATGGAGAACATTCTGAGAATTTACTTCTTCACTTCAGATTGGGAAGAGGCTTCTTATAATCTAAGGGGCCCAAGGCGATGCCACAAAGAGCAGTGTCCTCCCTGAGTCTCCATCTGACAAGAAGGGGGTGGGGACAGAAGCATCACCTGAGACCAAGTTTTGGACACACATTCAGTCCAGTCTGGTCATCTTCACATTTCCTGGGCTCTCCAGACAATGAAAGGGGTGTGCGGGTGGCCCTTTCATCCATGCCCACAGTTCTAAGCAGCACCGAAAGTACCTCAGAGTGGGACCATCGGCTTCTGCAAAGGCCAGGGGTCAGTGTGGGATGTTGACAAGCCATTCTTGTGCAGGGTCCTGGAGTGAGCACGATACTCACAGTGCTGACATGACTGACAGCCTCAGAGTGCCCCCAGATGCTGCTCTCCTCGCCTAGGGCTCACCGTCGGCCACCTTGGGCTCCTGAGGCCTCCCAGACTTCTCACCTTCAGCCTTGGAAGAAGATGAGTACCTTCGCCCCTAGGTCACCTGGCCAGGAATGGGCAGCACCCTGTACCCAGGATGTGGGCTTCTATGAGCTGGCAGGGGCATGGAATCCTTGGAGAGTCTGTGTGTCGTGTGCCCAACGCCTGGGGGAGCTGAGAGGTCACCAGGAGCCGGATGTAGTAGCCACCAAACACTGCCAGCAGCTGCTGGGCCATTTCCTGGAAGAGGTAGGGAAGCAGAGTGAGGGCCATAGAAAAGTGTCTAAAGCATGAGGGGTACGCCAAGTGGTCCTTGCACCCCTGGACCAGCAGTAATGCCCACTAGGAAGAACCCGGCAAGGCCCTCACCCGGGACAACTGCAAGATGCCTGAATCTGGTCTGGAACTCCAGCTCTCAGGCTCTGTGGAGCTCCTGCAGCCTCAGTTTCCACATCTCTGAGGTGGTAACCTAACTGCTAATAGGTGATAATAATGTGCACAAAAAAGCTAGGGAGCCTCAAAGCACTAGAGGAATTACCATTGGTTTATACCAGCCCATTGTGCACACACAAACACACACACACACACATTTTTCCAGTTTCAAGTGTCTGTGATTTTGTAAAGTACATGACATCAAGGTAATGCACTTGAAGAAAATCACCAGTAAATGGAGGCATGGTTGGGGGAATACCCCTCTGACGGCAGGATTCTTCAAGTCATACACAGCAGTACCTGCTGAATTGCTTCAGACAGTACTCCTATATTAAAAGTGCTTATCAAAACTGGATTTAGCACAAAAAGACAAATACGGTATGATTCCACTTATATGAGGCACCGAGAGCAATAAATTCATAGAGACAGAAAGTAGAATGGTGGTTTTCAGGGGCTGGGTAAGGTAAAAGAATTTGTATTTAATGGGTATGCTGTTTCAATTTGGGAGGATGAAAAAGTTCTGGAGGAGGGTGTAGTGATGGTTGCACAACGATGTGAATGCGCTTACTGCTACTGAATCGTACACTTAAAAATAGTTAAGGCGGTGAATTTTATACTATGTATATTTTACTGCAGTGAAAAAAATTAAAAAGTGAAAAAGAGGAAAAAAATGTTTTTAATTGTATTTAATGCATGCTCTTAACACATTTGGTCTCTAAAGTTCCATCCACCTGTCTGGCAGTTGGGATTCCAGCAAAGATGCTCCAGTTTCTTTTGTGTGGAATGGAACTCTTTCACAGTACTTGTGTCCAGTCTGAATGTAATGAAGTAAAGTGTGGGTTACACCCAGCCTGTTTACGTCAATACAGTTAGGGATCAAGAATAGGCTTTTAAATCAAAAGGGCCAGATGGGAATGTCAGCTCAGCCACCCTGGGATGGACCCTGAGCGAAGTCACTTCACCTTGCTTAGCCCACTTCCTCATCAGTAAAAGACAGAAAATCACAGCACCTTTCTGGTTGAGCTGGAGTGAGGACTAAAGGCACTAATGGATAGAAAGCCCAATACCTAATTTGCAATAAATGGCATCAATATCACTACCATTATCATTATTCAAAAAGCAGAAATTCCACCTAGCTCTGTAGGATCCGTGTTTCCTTGGAGTTATCCTTTGTGCTAGAAAAATGTTGAAAACGTCAAACAGCCTACCACTTACTAACTCAGATTGGTCTTCCCGCCCATTTATTCTAAAAGTGATAACATAAGAAACAAAGAACTGTGACAAGAAATTGGCCTCCTGAGGATCATAGGACTGGTTTCTGCTTTGGGCTTTGCCACATTCTCCCTTGTTCTGCGACCTTGGGTGAGTCAGCTGACCTCTTGGAAGCTTATTTCACCCATCAAGGAAGAAGGGAAAATAATCTATACTTCAGAGGATATGCTAAAGAATTTTATGCATGATAAAAACCTGTGAAAATGAAAGAGGTCATTATAACTATTTCTCCGCCTTTTGCACACACTGGGTTCCTCCTGAAATATGACAGTCTGGCCCAGGTTGAGACTTGGGCATTGCTTGTATTTTCCTTTGCTATTTTATAAGGGCAGCTACTTTAAAAACATGTGCACACACACTGAGACTTGATATTCATGACAGGAAATTGTAGTACTATTGGTTTGAATGAATTTGAAAAAATAATTTAAAAGACCCGTCATAGTTAATGAGCTATTTCACATAAACCCAGGCATGCATGCACAAGAAAGAACTTATCAATCTTTTCAGCTCTTTGAAGAGATTAACATTTTCTCTCATAATGGTCCTATTTGCAGGTCCCCCCACTCCTCATCCATACAAAAGGGAAAGTCTGGGCTGGTTTGGACCTTTAATCCCCAAATCTATTGGCTGAAAAGAAAATGCAAGTGCTCTCCTGTATCACACCCTGCCGAAGGTTGCCCCTCACTGCATGTCTCCCAGACAGTGGGTCTGTCCTCGTGGTGAGAAGAGGGTTGCACAAGCCGCAAACCACATTACCAGACTTCTGGTCTACTAGCTCTTGACCATACCCAACAGACAGCTTGGGTGGCAGGACCCAACAGAACTCCGGAGCAGGAGGAAAGAATTCAACAGAGATGCATACAAGATTTAAATATCCAACTGCAATTTAAGGAGATGGATGGAGAGATGACAGATTGATTGATAGATTTAAAAATGACCCAAATATTCATCAACATGTTCATGGTTAGGTAGGCTATGATCCATCAATATGCAACTACATATCCAATAGAACTACACAAAAGAATACCAAGATATTTTTTAAATGGGGTGCGGGGGCACCCAATAAGTATAAAATGATTCCTCTAAGCTATCTTTTAAAGTGCTGGGGTGAGGAAAAGAATATTGAAAACTAGTAGGCTAGAAGATGTGTATGGTCCCTACCAACCCAGTAAAGGCATGTCCCCAGGAATCTAGAACTTGAGAGCCCCACACGGACTCTATGCAAACACCTGGTGGGGGAGGAGGGGACCTGACTGGCCCAGGTGCTTGTTACCTCCGGCTCAGCCTCAGGAATAAGCTGGCGAAGTTCGGTCTGCATGAGTGGCCTCTCCGAGGGACGAGGACTGCTGGGCAGGAGAGGAGCTTCCTCCAGCAGGTTCTCCGGCCCCTCGGCCACTGTGGGGCTCACCCCAGTCTCCATGACGACACACAGCTGGCTCAATCTGCTTCTCAGCAAGGACTGCAAAGGAAACAGAGAGGGGCTCAGTGCCGGGTGGTTCCCTGAGCCGCAGACCCACATAGGACGGAGAGACTGTCTACAGACTCAGATGCTGACCTCAGGAGACTCTGGCGAGATCAGATAATTCCTGCAAAAGTATGGTCAGAAGCACTTTTCCTTCCATGCTCTCATGTGCTCCTCAAAGCAGCCTGGGACGTGGGAATCTTTACCCATATGTTGCAGATGAACAAACTGGAGCTCAAAGGAATTGCCCAAAGCCACACGGGAACCAATGGGTCCGGATCAGGGCTAAGCCACAATCCTGACTTCAAAACCAACTACAGCACTTGCGGGGGCCCGAAAATGGATCCCGGGGAAGAAGCACAGGGCTCGAGGAGAGGCGAGCTGGGCTCCAAACTTAGCATCACCAACCAGCTATGCCGGCTTCTCAGAGCCTCAGTTTCCTCCTCTGTGGAACTGGAGCAAACTCTCCCGGTTCCTTCTCAAAACATTCAGGATTTCAAACAAGTGAAAGTCATCTAAATATACGGTATTTTCCTCTGCCAGAATCTTTCTTATTGTTGGTGTTATAAATGAAATATATTCTCACTGTTATTTATTATTATTATAGATAAAATTTATATTCACTGTAGAAAATGTGGAAAATGCAACTAGTTAAAAAGGAAAAGAGGACTTCCCTGGTGGCACAGTGGTTAAGAATCCGCCTGCCAATGCAGGGGACATGGGTTCGAGCCCTGGTCCGGGAAGATCCCACATGCTGCGGAGCAACTAAGCCCGTGTGCCACAACTACTGAACCTGCGCGCTAGAGCCCGCAAGCCACAACTACTGAGCCCACGCACCACAACTACTGAAGTCCAAGCACCTAGAGCCCGTGCTCCGCAACAAGAGAAGCCACCGCAATGAGAAGCCCGCGTACCGCAACGAAGAGTAGCCCCCGCTCGCCGCAACAAAGACCCAACGCAGCCAAAAATTAAATATAAATAAATAATTCTATTTTTAAAAAATTCTTTAAAAAGGAAGATAAAAACAGTCATAATTCCCTAGGCAAAAACAACCATGATTCCACAGAGGTATTCTTACTTCCAGGTAACTTTTCCTTAGACACTTGTTCCAACGCTGAGGTAATGCAATCTATACAATCTAGCCTCCTGGTTTATTTTTTTGTTTTTCACTTAAGGTATCTCACCTCTTGGCTCGTCTTCATTTCTCGAACATGGTCGGACAAAAACTGCACACAGGTCTCCAGGTCGAAGTAGACAAACCAGAGCTGGGGAGAGAAGCAGCCATGACTGCTGAGGCCAAAACCCACCAGACCTCGAACTCTCCATCTCTGAGACGGGCCTCACCTCCTGCCTCCTCGCTGGAGACTTGCCCTTCTGGGGATGACCAGATTCATCCCAGTCTCCGGCGTGAGCATGCCATTCTGCTCTCTCCCACAGTCCCCCCCGCACGACGGGGTCTGGTAGACAAGTGGCTTCGTGTGCAGATTTGGAAAATGTCAAACCCTGTGCCTGCTGGGGGCCCACCTGTACCCACACCCTGGGCCCCTCACCAGCTAAGAATGCGAACGTGGTGCTGAGGAGATTTATCAATCCTCCCAGGCAGAGCCCAGCCAGGCTCAGGCACCCTGGGCCTCAACCAGCCCAGCTGTGTCCCAGACCCACTGTGTGACCTCTTTCTAGTCACTTCAGATCTCCCCATTGCCTTGGGGCCAAGAAAACAACCATGCCAGGAGGACAAGGCCCTCAGGGTCTGACCTGCCTCCCCAGGGACCTTGTCTGGGTACTGAGGGCTCGAAACAGAGGAGGCCCCATCTCTTTGCTGAATAAATGTTCAATGAGGAATGTGGCTTGGATGGTCTCCGAGCTTCCCTTCCAGCCCCGCCTCGTGGAGGTTCTAGGCTGCTGGTTACCACCCAGAGAGGAGTCTCCAGAAAGAAACACTGGAGCAGAGAGGAAGGAGGGGCTGCCGACGCCATCTCCGTTAGCAGACTCCGGGGGACACTGCACAGACTGGGAGAGCCCAGCCCCAAAGTGGGTTCACTGGAGAGGTCACTCCGAGACACAGTACCTGAATCACACTCTGGCAGCCTTCCACCGTGTCTGTCACCCCCAACAGCACCCGGTGTCTCAGGAGGGCTCCGTTGGCAGCCGCCAGCCTCAGATCCGTGTTGGCGTTGGCCTGTAAGACAAACGCCAGCCCCATGGCCCAACCTCCATGCTGCCGGGGAGCTCTTGGGCCTGAGCAATAACCACACACTGTCCCTCCCCGAGACACCACGGAACAATCCTGGTCTCCGAGACACATCCATTGTCTCCCCTATAAAACAGACTGTGGCATTGTTGGGACAATAAATTCAACAGTGTCAGAGAGCTTCGGGTGAAGCCCAGCTCTGCTACTTCCCGGCGGTGTGGCCCTGGACAAATGTGTCCCTTCTGAGTCTTGCTTTCTTCAGTTGTTGAAGAAGGATAAAAAGCATCTCCGGCCCTTAGGAACATGGTGAGATTGAACTGAGATTGTGTGTGTGACGCACTTAACCCGGTGCCTGGGACACAGTCGGGGGCCACACATAACTGAGGGAGGAGGCGGTTGGAGACCTTTGAGCATCGATTGTGGGAATAAAGCACCTACTTTCCATACTACCTAACCCAGTGACTGGCCCTCGGAGGGGGGCTCTGGGAATCCATCTCCTTCTTTTCCCACCAGAACCAACTGACGCCATGGATGACAAAGTAGGTGCTAAGCAGACTGGGCAGGAGAGGACAGGAAGGGTGACAGGACCCAAACCTCTAAAAGACCCTACAAGGACTTTCAGATGCAATTAGAAGGCAACCCAATCGAGGACAATGGTCCCCAAAACAGGAAGGACCCCTGTAGGGAGCTTCTGAATGTGTGAGAAGGCCCTTACGGTTGTCACAGGCACAGGACAGGCAATGCTGGCATTTAGGGACGAGGACCAGGGATGCTAAACACATGCCTTCCACCGTAGGCCACGTCCCATGACAGAGAATCTTGCACGTGGAAGAACTGTCCCCCAGCCTACCTGAACCCTAAATGTCCCACTGGGCACGAGCACATGTGAAAAACTCTCTTCATAATTCTCTGACTGGCCAACCTAATTCCATTTTACATATAAACCTAAAGTGTTTTGTGAATAGGTTTTAAAATACATCGAATTTTCCAGGAATGCCACTAAAGGCACACCTCGTTTATTGCATTTCGCTTTATTGCACTTTACAGATACTGCTTTTTTTTTTTTTTTACAAACAATGTTTGTGACAATCCTGAGTCGAGCAAGTCTATTGGCGCCATTTTTCCACTAGCGTTATTTTTTAACTGAGGTATGTGCATTGCTTTTTTTTAGACATAGTGCTTTTACACACTTAATAGACTACAGTATAGTGTAAACATAACTTTTATATGCACTGGAAAGCCAAAAAATTCATGTGACTCTCTTTATTGTGATATCCGCTTTGTAGCAGTGGTCTGGAACCAAACCCACAGTATCTCCAAAGTCTGCCTGTATTATAAAAATCAAGGGGTGATTATATTTTGTTTTGCCTAGAACTTTAGCAAGGGTGTTCACCCTTTCAGAAACCCCTATCACCAAGATTTCAGGTCCTGACTCCATCTCTTAACTACCTATATAACCCTGGGCAAATTAGTCACCATCTCTGCCTCCACACCCTCACGTCCAAATTGGAGATAACATCCCCTAATAATAAGGGTTAGAATAAGGATGAAATGAGTTAATCCACGTAGGACACCTGGAAGAATGAACGCTCGATATATGTCACCAGTAATATCTTTATGATGACGATACTGAACTGAAGACATCATGTTTTCCACTGTACCATGTTGGCCACAAACGAATATTTTTAGGAATTTTCAACATACCCTAGTGATGTGTTTTACTCTCTAGGGGATAAAAGACAGAGTCTTGCCTGCCTTCATAAGCCTTCTGATCTTGAAAAAGGCTAATAATGACCCAAACAAGGGGAAAACAAGGCAGTGTGTACAAATGCTGAGGCTCTCAAGGATGCTATGTGATGCGGGTAGGACACAAACAGTAAGAGTGACAATGGTCAGGAAGGGGGATCTGCATGGTCCTGAGAGATGAGGGATCCGAGGATAAAGAAGTCCTTGAGCTGAGGCTCAGAGGAAGACCTGAGCAAGGCTGTGTGACCACAGACTAGTTACTTAACCGCTCTGAGCTTTGGTTTCACCACTAGTGAAGAGTAAATAATCATGACAGTTGATACATAGTGAGCATTTATGTAACACCAAGTAAGATTATAAGCACGTTGCATGTATTAAGTCATTTAGTTCTCCCAACAATCCTATGAGGGAGCTAAAATTATTATCCCATTGTACAGATGAGAAAACTAAGGCCCTGAGAGGTTAAATAATAAATCACCCCAGGTTGCAGGGCTAGCAAGTGGCAGAGGTACCCTGCCTCCTTGTGAGGCTGTTGTTGGGCATGGATATCAGGCCCCAAACACAGAACACATAATAAGTGCTCGTTAAACGATGGTCATACGAGAAAGTAAGGATCCTGGAGGGGATCAACAAACAGTGATGACAGAAGGGCTATTATGTACCTGGGGCCTCCACGCTGCCCCTACGCGTAAAGATCCAGGGTCTTGTTTGTCTCTGTGCCCTGTGCCTAGCACATCTCCTAGGCACTTGCGGAGGCTTCATAAATGCCAGCTGAATAAGGAAGAAAGGGAGGAAGGAGGCAGAGAGCCACGGCAGGCATTCCCTGAACTGCCTCCCTGAAGCACCTGCCAGGTGCCAGATATTTTGCTTGCTCCTGATAAAGCAGGGCACTTTGCTTCTTCCCCCTCCCCAAGAGAAGGTTCTTGCTGCAGAAGCAGCCAGCTCCACTGATTTTTTTATAGGCCAAACACAGGGGCCATGAGAGCTTCACAGAGTCCAAGGGCAGCATTATTCTGTCAGCCTCATCGCAAAGCCCGACAAAGATCCTTTCAGAATGATTAAGCCATGAAGTTCCTATTTGTCCCTGTGAGCACAGGCACTAAATGGAATTCATACCCCCGAACCCTGACCACATTTCCCAACATCGCGCCCTCTCCTCCTGAGTGAGGCAAGAGTGGAGTGTTTGCTAAAGATCTCAAAGTCCAGCTCTGTGCCAGGTGCTGGGGGAGCTTCCGAAGCAGCTGGAAAGACAGTGGAGGGGTGGTTGCCAGAATAAGGGTCCCCCAAGGATGTGTAAAATCCTACTTCCCAGAACCTGTGAATTTATGTTACTTGGCACAGAAAAATTAAGGGTGTAGATGGAATTAATGTTGCTAATTAGTTAGCCTTAAAATGGGAAGATTGTCCCAGATTATCTAGACAGCCCAATGTAATCACAGGGGGCCTTGAAAGTAGAAGAGGGAGACAGAAGACTCAGAGTCAAGAATGCGAGAAGGACTCAACCCACCACTGCTGGCTTTGAAGATGGAGGAAGGGGCCATGAGCCAAGGAACGCAGGTGGCCTCCAGGAGCTGGAAAAGACAAGGAAACAGATGCCCCCCCTAGAGGCTCCAGAAAGGAGGCAGCCCAGCCCTGTCAAACTTTTAAACTACAGAACTGTAACACAACACATTTCTGTTGTTTTAAGCCACTACATTTATGGTTATCTGTTACAGCCACAGAACACCAATACAGGTGGGTATTGACTGAGAAGATGGCTTGGAATCTGAGCATCCTGGCCTTGAATTTGAGCTCTGCCATTTATTAGCAGCATGACCTTGGACTACTTCTTGGGCCTTTCGGAGCCTCGGATTCCTCACCTGCAAAATGAACGTAAAAGCCTCTACCCAGAGATTTACTGGGGGGTTTAATGAGTTAATGCATGTAAAGCATTTAGTAGATGACCTACCACATATGAAGTGCTCAACAGTAACAAAAGACAGATGTTGAAGAAGCAGAAGACAATTAGCAAACCATACATTAAGCCAGGGGGTATCGATCTCCTTTGTGAATGAGATCAGGAATCAGAGGGTTCAGTCTTTGAAGCTCCACTCTGACACTCAGAGTGGGATTGGGACAAGTTACCTAAACTCCCTGATCACCCACCCACTCTCTGCCTCAGAGGTCATTACTGGGGTTAAATGAGACACAACTGTCAACCAAGCACCAGGTAGAGTCCATCCACCTCTCCCCAGGTACCCCATGCTGTGAGGTGGGTCCAGGAAACACCCTCGCTCACAGGGCCGTGGCAAGCACCCAGGCAGAGGAGGTGCATGGAAGGGCTCAGTCGCCTCAAAGTGCCATCCTCCCCGCTCCCAGACTCTCTCAAAACACAGCCTGCTTCCAGAAAAACAACCCACAGGCATTAGAGAGAAAAACAGAAAGGATTTAATCACATGTGTGATTTGATTTCTTTTAGTCACTGGGCACATGGGCCAGGGTGAATTTTCATGGTTGGGGAAATTCTTTGAAGCAGGTAAAAGAAAAATCTGACTTGGGATTATCCTGTCCACACAGCCTTTCTGGAGGGAGCGTGGCTGGAGTCCCCGGATGTCTTACCTTCCTCTGGTGTCTCTCGAAAATGAGCACAAGAGTCAGGGTCAGGCTCATGGCAGCCAGGGTCACGAGCAGCACACCCACCCAGTGGTTCCCCAGGGCGAACATCTGGCTGGTGGAGTAGATGTTGGCCCATACCACCACATAGAACACCTGCAAGAAGCCAGAGAAAGGGCACGGTCAGGAACACCAGTCCTCAAACGAAGCAGCTCCATTCCAAGGGACACCCTCTGGCCACTTCTGATGCCCTCCATGGATGCGCGAGCTCACAAGGCCAGTCAGAGGCTGATGGGGGCGGGAGATTGGGGTGGTCTGTGAGAATGGGCCCTTGTTCCTTGTTCAAAAGCAAAGGGAGAGGCAAGGGGTTAGAATAGCTACTCCAAATCCTTGCTTACTCTGAATTCAAATAAAACAGAAAAGGGCAGGGGGCTTGGGAGTGAGATAAATTTGAATCAGAAAGCCCACGTTGATCCTTCAACAGCTAGGTGGCCTTAGACAAGTTGTAACAACTCTCTGGGCCTCAGTTTCCTCATCCGTAAAATGGGGATAATAATACCTACTTCACAGTGTTGTTATAAGGGTGAATAAGATAACCTATGTAACAGCCTAGCACTTCTTAGGAAATCAGTAACTGCCAGTGGCCATCCCTTCCGCTCCCAGAAGCAGGACATGGGAGTCAAGAGTGCTTTTTGACCATTTATACATACAGAGGAGTGGCAGGTCACAGCGGTTAAGAGCACAGATGCAGAAACCAGAGTGCCCGGGTTCCAACACTGGCTGTGCCATATTCTGTATGCCTGTGTGTGTTTACGTATATATATAGGTGTATACATATGTTTATATGTATACACACACACATATATGACTAGAGCTGAAATAGACCAATCTGTTGAACAGATGGGGAAACCAAGTCCCAGAGAGGAGGAAAGTCTTGACAAAGCCAGACACTGAGTCCAGAGCCTCAGTGGTGGGTCTACAGATTCCCAATCCCCCAGCTCTGCCCTTAGTAAACCCTGCCTCCCATCCTCTGCATGGAGAGCTGGTTACAACTCTCCCCCATGAATTTCCTCTTACACCAAACCCAGGTCCAGGTGTACTGCTCTCTCCCAGGCAGCCCAGCCACCAGCCCCCAAACCCGTGACCCACACCAACAGGCTCCAGCGCACTGTGCCGAATTCAGCAGTGCCTCAGAGGCCTCCCTCTCTCTTACCACAGCGAAGGCCAGCCGCATAGGCCTCGAGTTGTAGATGATGTATCTTCTCACTTGGGGCTCCAAGAGGGCACTCTCAGCCAGGCTCCTGTACTGCTCAGCCGGGACCTGCTTGGCCACCCAAGGGAAAGAGGCCCGTCAGCCCCGGAGAACCACATCCCACTCCTTCCCACCAGCAGGGGTGTTGTGGCCAGTTCACGTGGCTATCACGTGGAAGGGGGATGAGGTGCATTCCTGGCTGCCCCCAAAGGCAGAATGGGGAGCGTGGAGCACGGCGTGGCAATCACAGGGTGCAGCTTCCAGCTCAGAGAAGGACAGGCACCACTGGGGAGGTGGGACAGCTCGAGATCCAGGAGGACGTCCAGGAGAGGGATCCCTGTAGCCCAAGGCTCAGCACCTCACAGCAGACCCAGGATAGCCTAATGGTTAAGGTGCAGGGCATGGAGTCAGCCAGCCCTGGGTCTCCAAACCTTGGCCCTGCCCCTCATGTGCTGTGTGACCGGGAGCAAGTAACCCCACTTCTCCTCAGTTTCCTCCTCTTTAAAATGAGGATAGGGACTTCCCTGGTGGCGCAGTGATTGGGAGTCCACCTGCCAGTGCAGGGCACCCGTGTTCACGCCCTGGTCCGGGAGGATCCCACATGCCGCGGAGCAGCTAAGCCTGCGCGCCACAACTACTGAGCCTGCGCTCTAGAACCCGTGCTCTGCAACAAAAAGAAGCCACCACAATGAGAAGCTCCCGCACCACAACGAAGAGGAGTCCCTGCTTGCCGCAACTAGAGAAAGCCCGGGCACAGCAACGAAAACCCAATGCAGCCATAAATAAATAAATAAATAAAATTTTTAAAATAAATAAATAAAATAAAATGAGGATAATCAAAGTACACCTTGTAGAGGTGATAGGCATATTAAATAATACATATACAATATTTACAATAAATACAATAAATATACATATAGTATGTAGACACATATTATCTGGACATCTTTGGGGGCCTCTGTTCTCTTACTTAGATAGATATGTGTGTCTAAGTGTATGTGTACACAAGCCCGGTGCTGGTTCCGTAGTGAACACTTGATACACAAGTGTTATTCTCAAACTGTACCATCAATAACTATTAATACAGTCCAAGATCCTGAAAATTCACATCTTCCTGCCCAAACAAAAAATGTCATAGAGCAAAGGTCCTATGAGAATGGATTGCTTAAGAACACAGAATTTAATCATCAGAGATATTTAGGAACATGGCAGAACAAGATGTAAATGGTTCATCAGTTAAGAAAACCCAACCTGAAGACAACTGTTTAAGAAAAATGTTCTTTTGTACAAAGGCTGAAAGGAAGCGTGAGAAGTAAAACCAGCTCATGTGCTGATGTGGGGCTAGTACTGTCAACTTGGAAAGTTTCCCTTTAATGGTGATAAAATGTTGTTTTAAACCATAATGCAAGGAGTAAACTCTCGAGTCTTCAGGGTAAAATTAGCAATGTAGCTTCCTCAGCCATAAATAATCCTCCCTGGGCAGTGAAGATGAAGGCCTAATCATGCTGGAGGATTTGAGAAGGGCAAGAACCACACCTGTGGGAACTTAATAGCAATACCACAATTTATTGAACATTTACTATGTGCCAGGGCCAGCGCAAGTGCTCCTCGAGCACTACTTCTCTTAATCCATACAAAGACCCTGTGTAATAGGCATTAATATTAACCTCGTTTTACAGATGATGAGACTGTGGCTCAGAGAGGTTAAGTCACCTGCCTAAAGTCACCCAGGCAGTAAGCAGCTGAGCTGGATCTGCATCCAGATCTATGAACCCCCGTGAAGCCTATGCCTCGAATCACTATGCTCGAAGGTACTGCATTATCATCTAATGAATTCACACACCCTTCCCTTTGCAGAAGCAGTTCCTTCTCCTAAAATGCCCTTCCTCCTGTCCACCCAGCAAACTCTTTTTCCTTCAAGAGCCCAGATCAAGTATCTGCTCCACTGCAAAGCTTTTGTTAGAATGAATAAAGGAAAGCTCATTTATACTGGAGTTGGGAAGGCCAGAAGGAGGTGCTCTCATGCCCTACCACTCATTGTCATCTGCAGACTCCAAACACGAAGAGAATCACCTTGCATCTCCAACAGGAAGAAGGTCGGTTTCTGCCTTTTACTACCTCAGCAGGAGGAAGATTTTCTCCTCGCCTGGCAACAGCCCAGCCAACCAGAGGCTGTCACAACTCAGCCAATGAAAAGCCACTACACTTCGAACCCCAGTTTCCCCCACTGGCCTCCTTGTTTATAAGAGCCCCTCCCAACCTCTCTTTTACCTCTATAAAAGAACAGTCCTTTCCTTTGTTTCTCCAGACTTGCCCAGTTTTTACTATAGCATGCCTGTCCCGAATTGCAACTTTCTGCTATTACCGAATAAACCCATTTTGCCAGTATAATAACGGGCTGCTTTAGTTTTAAGGCGGACACTTTCATAACCACTGCTCCCTGAGCTGAGTTTATCATTTTCTCCTGTGAATGTCTTCAATGTCTTGTGCATCCCTCTACTGCAGCATTTATACCATACTGTTCTGCTTTACCTGACGCATGTCTCTCTCACCCACTGGGCTCTGTGAGCAGTGTGACACCAGGCACGGGGACCTAGTCACCTCTGTAGTACTCAGTGACCGCCCAAGTGGCCAGCACAGGGTGGACACCCCAAAACACACATCTGTTAAGTAAATTAATTGGAAGGAGAGGACATCTTCCTTATATTCCCTACCATGTTGAGCACAGGGTAGGTGTTTAATAAAAATGTTGTGAATAATTGGATGATAGAATAGATAGACGGACAGACAGGTGGATGGATGGATGGATGTATGGAAGAAAAAGTACTAAGGACTCCATAAAGTCAGCGCTCACCTGAATGCCCCAGGTCTGCAGTTGTTCTTCGGCGGCTCCCAGATCGAAGGAGATGGGTGCACAGGTATTGTCAATCCGGAGAACTGTGAGGACCTGGCCGTTGTGGAGCTCTGAAAGCAGACCAGGAGCTTCATCAGGCTGAGCAATAAGGACTTTGGGTGAGCCCAGACCTTGATGGCATCACCTCCTCTGGCCTTGAGAACATTCTCATGGCAAGGAGGGACTTGCCATCCTCCAACTCCTACGGGAGAAGGACTGGACTTGACTGGAAAGCTCCCAGGAGACAGAACTGAGGCCGGAGGCTTTTAGGACATTATTTGAGACCATAAAAGGAAGAACTTCTCAAGAATGTGAGCTCTGTCCACACAAAGTCTGGGAGGTAGTGGGCTCCCCCTCACAAGGGATATTTAAACAGAGACTGAACAACTAATTACACTGAGGAGATGATCCAGCAGACATTTATTCGAGGATGGCAAAGGAAGTGCAACCAAACAACTTACATCCCTAGTGGGCTCAGAGTCTAAGTAGCAGGTAACAATGTGGTAGGCACAACAGTGAACCCCCAAGGATGTCCCCACCCTAACCCCCAGAACCTGTGAATACGTTATCTTACATGGCAAAGGAGAATGGGGGTTGCAGGTGAACTTACTGGTATTAACCAGCTGGCCTGAAATAGGGAGGTTATCCTAGGTTATCTGGGTGGGCCCACTGTAATCACAAGGATCCTCAGAAGTGGACGAGAGGGAATTCCCTGGCGGTCCAGTGGTTAGGACTCCACGCTTTCACTGCTGAGGGCTCAGGTTCGATCCCTGGTTAGGGAACTAAGATCCCGCATGCCACTCAGCGCAGCAAAAAAAAAGAAGTGGAAGAGGGAGGCAGCAGAAGAGCCAAGAGGGATGTGACTACGGAAGAAAGGTACAGAGAGATGGAACATTACTGGCTTTAAAATGACGGAAGGGGACTTCCCTGGTGGTCCAATAGTTAAGAATCCGCCTTCTAATGCAGGGGGACGTGGGTTCGATCCCTGGTCGGGGAACTAAGATCCCACATGCCACGGGGCAGCTAAGCCCGAGTGCTCTAGAGCCCGCGCGCCACGACTAGAGAGAAGCCCGTGTGCTGCCCGCACGCCGCAACTAAAACCCGACGCAGCCAAGTAAATAAATAAATATAAAATTAAAAAAACAAATGGCCGAAGGCTTCAGCAGCCAAGGACTGTGGGTGGCCTTTAGATGCTGGAAAAGAAAAGGAAACAGATTCTCCGCTGGAGCTTCCTAAAGGAATGCAGCCTTGCTGACCAGGGCTGTCAGGCTGTGAGCGAACAGTCTGGCCAGTGTCAGACTTCTAACCTACAGAACTGTAAGAGAAGAACTGCATTTGCTAAGCCACTGTTAGTGGCACCTGTTACAACAGTCACAGAAAACTAATCCGCTGACTTACGGGCAAGCCCTCCCCAGTGTCTCTGCACTCGCTCAACATTTTAAAAGCATATATTGAGTGAAGTCATACCTCAAAAACACACATCATCTCAGCCTTGTCACAATGGCTATCAAATTTATTCGAGGATGCCCTGCAGGGCTGCAATGAAGCCAGACCAGGAGACCCGAGGGAGGCCAGCTACAGTGAAATCCCCTCGGGTCCAGGGAGGAAGGGCAGCAGAAAGAAGCCAAACCAACTTCCGTTCTGAGTAGAGAAACTCTGAACAAAAGGACCGAGATCTCCTTCCATCACATACGAGGCCCAGGGAGCCACCAGAGAGCAGCCAGGGCAGCTGCTGCAGGGTAGTCCAGCCCTGAGATTCTAGGATCCCAGCGTTCAGCCACACAGGGCTGGGAGCTGAATATTTCAGCACGTTTTCTGTAGCTGTTGCTCAGAAAAGGAGGCAGGGCTGAAGGGATTAAACCATGAACATGTTACCTGCTGGCTCAGGGCCCAGCTCGGGGTTAATCCCTGAGTCTTAAAGCAAAATGACTAGCTCTACCTTCCTGGGAATCCCTGGCCCACCCAAACGCTCCTCTAACCCCTCACCCCGTCCATCCCTGGGCCCTGCCACCTGGGCCAACAAAATCTCTCCCAGCTCCGTGCACCCCTTGGTGTCTTCACCACAACCCTAGGCCAGGCTCCCTTCACCCCTCCCTGTACCTGCCGTAGTCTCCTAACTGGTTTCTCCAACCTGCTCTTCCTCTTACGATGCATTCACACAGCAGCCAGAGCACAGATCAGATTAATACAAATTCTCTGAGTAAAACTTTCAAGAGCCTCCCAGTCCTCTGGCAAAAACCAACCTCCTTACCAAGCTCCCTCGGCCCTTCGAAGAACTAGCCTCCTGCCAAGCTCACCTTGAAGCCTCAGCCTCACTCTGTGTCTTGCCACCCCAGCCTCCTTAGCCCCTTGGACATGTAGTGTTCTCTCCCACCCCAGGGCTTTTGTGCATGCTCTTCCAGCTCTCTCCCTAGAACACTCCACCTAGCCTCACTCCGTTATATCCAAGTCATCATTTGTGTTCCAGCTCATTAATCCCTTGCCCAGGAAGTCTTCCCTGACATTCTAAACTCATAGCAGATCAAATCTGTCTGATAGGGCTTCCCTGGTGGCGCAGTGGTTGAGAGTCCGCCTGCTGATGCAGGGGACACGGGTTCGTGCCCCGGTCCAGGAAGATCCCACATGCCGTGGAGCGGCTGGGCCCGTGAGCCATGGCTGCTGAGCCTGCGCATCCGGAGACTGTGCTTCACAACGGAAGAGGCCACAACAGTGAGAGGCCCGCATACCACAAAAAAAAAAAAAAAAAAAAAAAAAATCTGTCTGATAAACCTGCCCATAACTACATGCTCTCCTCCTTTATGCTTATCAAAGATGAGCACATGTGTATGCAATTACTTGATTAAAGTCCACTGTCTCCATCAGACTATATACTCCCACGTTGGTTTTGCACATCACTGAATCCCCTGAGCTGGGTTCAGTGCCAGGTGTACAGTAGGCACTAAATAAATGCTTCCTGTATAAATGAGGTGGGGAAAGCACAAGCTAGATGCTTTGGGGTTCAAATGGTAACTCAGCCTCTCTCTAACAGAGCACCTTGAAGAAACAATTTAATCCCTGGCCATCCCCTTAGAGGATGATTATATCCACCGCGGAGGATTTTGCAAATAATTAAGATGATGAAAATTAAGCGCTTGGTGCAAAATGGGTACTGAATGACTGGCTGCTACTGTTGTCATAATTTAAAAGCCAGCTTGTCAAAGCTCCTACGTTACCATAAAGGCACACCAGTTTAGCTGTGTTGGTTTTTACCTTCCCACACCTTGTTCCAGAAAGGATTTAAGGTGGCTTCATAAAATAAAATATGAAAAGATAAAATTAGATTTAAAAATAAGTAAATGAGGGAAAACAGACAAAAAGAAGATCAAGACCAAAATAAAACAGAACAATAAAATGCGATAAGAAGAGCTTCCAGGGACTGATCCCATCCTATGCACCAGGCATGGGCTTAGGCTCACAGTCGTGATTCCATTTAATCCTCCAAGACTCCTAGAAGGTGGAAAACCATTACAATGGAAAAGGAAACTGAACCTCGGAAAGGAGAACCAGCTTGCCTGGTGGTACCAGGGGAAATGAAAGTAAGAAGAGAAGAAGTGAAGAGAAAGGGTAGCATACAAAACGCAGGCAGTCATGCTGTGTGGAGCCTCAGACTAGCCCTCCACTGCACAGCACAGAGCAGAAAACACACACTGACCTGGATCCCAGGCATGGAGGTTGTGAACCACTCCCCTAGCCTGGCTCTTTGCACTATGAGGACAGTGTTTGCCTGAGCAATGTGAGGACTTTTCATAGTGTCTCTGTTTCCCTTTCAAACCATGAGTTCCTGGATTCTTGGTAATAATCTCTCTCATCTGCTCCTCAACGTGAGAACTGCAAGTCCTCCACTTAAGAAAAAGGATCTAAAAAGCTACCAAAGAAGCGTGTGTGTGTGTGTGTGTGTGTGTGTGTGTGTGTGTACAGGGAGCTATTTCCTATAAAGGGGCAAGAACTAGCTTGCCAAAAACCAGTAGAGCTATATCTTCAAAGAGCTGAAGGTAAATTATTCCATTCCATTTCATTCTACTGGTGTGTGTGTATGTGAACTGCTTTCCTAATAACAGTAGTCATAAAAGGAACCCTTGTTTTTAAGTTTTAAATCATCTAAGAAACAAGCCACAATGCAAAATGCCATCTCCCCTTGCCTATGCCCAGCCACTCATTCATTCATTCATTCATTCATTCAACAAAATACTTATTGAGCATCTACTATGAGCAAAGGGCTTCCCTGGTGGCGCAGTGGTTAAAAATCCGCCTGCCAATGCAGGGGACACGGGTTCGAGCCCTGGTCTGGGAAGATCCTACATGCCGCAGAGCAACTAAGCCCGTGCGCCACAACTACTGAGCCGGCGCTCCAGAACCCGTAAGTCAAAACTCCTGAAGCCCGGGTGCCGAAAGCCCGTGCTCTGCAACAAGAGAAGCCACTGCAATGAGAAGGCCACGCACTGCAACAAAGAGTAGCCTCCGCTCACCGCAACTAGAGAAAGCCTGCACACAGCAACAAAGACCCAATGCAGTGAAAAATAAAGAAATAAAATAAATAATAATAAAAATTTTAAAATAATAATACTATGGGCCAAGCCATGTGCTAAGTACTATAGACACAGTGATGAACAAAGCAAAACAGGGACCCTGCATTCGTGGAGCTTACATTCTAGTGAGGAAACTGGACATTCAACACTTTATTACACAGGTAATTATTTAATTACAGACTGGTAATTGCTATAGGGAGAAACAGGAATATATCAGAGGGTCCCGGCTTAGGCTGGGCCATCAGGAGAGGATTCACCATGGAAGGGATATCTGAACTTAGCTCTGAAGGATGGATGGAAATTAAGCAGGGAAAGGGAGGCAGGGAAAGGGCATAACACACAGCAGGGACAGCAGGTGCAAAGGTCCTGGGGCAGGGCAGCATGGCAGGAACAGAGAACAGGGGCAGCAAGAGCCATTTAGGCAGGCCTGGCAAGCTGGAGAATGATAGATCTTCATGCTAAGCCTAATGGGAAACACTGAAACAGAAAGCGATTTGGTTGGCTGT